ATGTACCAACCCCCAAGATGAATGTAATAGTTATGTAAATATGTACTAATAAAATATTTTAATTATGAAAATTATTTTAAAATGTTACTGTTGTACTCTTTTTAATGTAGCCTATTTTGCTGTAGTTTTGAGTACTTTGTTTTATTCTAATATAGTTACCCATTCGGTAGCAGAAAAACTTAGAAAGATTTTTCCTTTGAGGGGGCAGTTTATGCGAAAGGGTCTTACTATGTAGCCCAGGCTAACCTCAAATTCATGATCCTCCTTTCTCAGGCTAAGATTACAGATATGTCCCACCATTAGAAAGATTATCCTTATAGCTCTGTGTTTACAAAAATATTTTACAACTGAATGCTTTATATTCCCAATTATATATCCTTAGTTTTTATCATTTCCCTAAACTTTAATCCCCTCCCTTCTGTCAAAATACTTCAAACTGTGCTATATACATAATAGAAATGACTAAAGTAATCATTGTTCTAACACTGCTAAAATATACACAAGCTAGCACTTTGATAAAACAACCAAAACAGTAAAAAATCACAAGTACAGTATTAATTATGTTATATACAAAAATATGTTCAAGTTGGAAACTAATCTAAATGCTCATAGAACTGAAAGCATAATTTTAAGTATCAATACTATAAAAGAAAACCATTTACCTTGAATGGTACATGAAAGAATTTTACTGAAAGAATTTTTTTCTAGTTGTAAACACTGTTTCATAATCTGCTGATACCCAGAGAAAAGTGAAAACATCTACCACTTGGTTTTTATAAGAACTGATTAGTGCTACCGCTAACTTTACACCAAAAAGTCTTCCTCAAAAGTTTGGTATATTAAATTTATGTGTGTGCATGTGAATGGCGTTATTGTTAAGCCTGTTTAGATGCATCATGAAGGTTCATTATTTATACATACCCTGGAGACAATACTTTTTTAAGCAATCTTTTAGAATAAATGATTTACATGTTTCAGAAACTCAAATTTTTAAACACTGAAATTTCTTAAACACATACCAAAAAAGAGAAAAATTCATTTAATATCATAAATCATGATCTAAATAGTTTAGCCTTTTTCTTAATCCCCAAGCTTTAAAAAAATAGTTTCATTCCTAAGCAAGTATTATTTCATAACAACCTATGTCCTTGCCAATGCCCACAGCCTTCAGTGACTGATTTTATTTGGGAATTTTTAGTTAGGAAGATACCAGGACAATAAATGACTCTTCTATATCTTTACTTTCATTTTAGCCTTCCTATATTCATACCCTAGAGGTTCCAGATTCTTATCCACAAAGTGATTATGGTCTAGGACTGAATCAGATTTGTAACAAATGTCCACTGGGATCCTTCCACCTATCATTGACAAGCAGAGCCAATATGTGTCTTCTAGCTCATTGAATCCTTTCACCTTACCTCAGGGACTTTCCACAATGCTATACGGTTAGAAGCTTTCTTTCGTAAATGATGAGAATAAATGAAAAATGATTAAGGAATGGAAAAAAATGAAAACGAAAGTCATTGTACAGTGTCTAAAAACTACCTTACAATCACCACCTAAGTGCCCAAACATAATAACATACATAAAGGAGATTCTTCTTTAATGTTTTAAGTCTCGTCTCTAACTTTATCTGATTACTGACATGTACAAGTATACTAACACACCAACATATCTCTAGCTACACAATAAGCATAAAACTTCTAAAAAAAACTTCTATCAGTGATCTGTGATAGTCTAGAAACTACTGATTTTTTTAATTTCCTAGAAGAATTAAACATAAAGCTAATAAAATGAAACTTAGAGTATGATTTCTTTTCAATATTACCATATCAACTAAAACTGACAGCAGTCATGCAATCATTTATAAGTAAAATATAGATTCTTATTTTTTCCTCAAAGATAATTGCACACGGCATTTTCTCCTTTTTTGCATTTTCTTCAAAAAAATATAAAGTGTTTCCAGAGAGAGAGATGGAAAAATTACAAAATACAGTATTTTTATATCACAAGCTACACAAAAATCTGTCACCATTTATGTTACAATTGTAATCATCAATAAGGTACTTTTTTCAATGTGCCACTCAAAAATCAATTATATCAACTCTTTTGTATAGAGAAGCAGCACACCTTTCAGGCAACTAGTATTAATGAGTAGACATGACTATAGAATCTCCATCTGTTTCCCTGACAAAGCTGTGGCTACTCGAGTCTCTCATTGAAATTCCATTAATCTGGTGTACCAAGGTCCAATGCGAAAATCAAAACTCCATCTAACCCTTTATCAGCTCACAATAACCTACAAGTGAACTTTGCCTGTTAGCATGCAGCAAGTTATGATTTTGCTATCAATCAGGCAGTTGGCCAATAAAAAAAAAAAAAAGCAGGTTGGAAACAGCATGTCTGGCAGGGTTGGGAGATTTTGTTTTTGTTTTTTGTTTTCCTCCCCATTCAATTTCTATAGGGTGTCTGGACCTTGTGAGATTATGCATTATTCTCCTTGGCTGTGATTTAATTGCTACCAGCAATCAAGTCGAAGCATCACTGAAGTGTGCTTGAATTTCATTAGAAGATATAACTTATGCTACTTTCCTACAGTACCTAATAAACCATAAAGAAACCAAAACACATATGGCTTGAGGGAATAACTGGAAAATTAGGTGGCCATTTGGGAACTGAGTGAACTTTTGAACCAGAGGAATAGAGAAAAAGAAATATTAAAGGGAAAGACAGACTTAGAATGCACATAGAGATGTTCAGGTTTGACCTTTTCAGTACCTTGAAAATTACATTATCATTATGAAAAATACATATCATGTTTAGAGTTTATAATCCATCAAAGTTCACATATTTTGTTAGTGCCTACCATAAGGTAAAAGTCAAAAGGACAAAACAACAATATGATTTGACAAAAGACCTTCGGGTGACCTGTACTAAATTGGTTATACTTATTGTAAGTGTATTATCCTTTTTATAATTAATACATTATTAGACTGAGTTCACATAATAAAGGAAAACTTATTCAGGAAAGGAAAGAGAACACAGACAAAATTTAAGTTGTAGAGAGAAAAGAATGATATGAAGAGATATAATTTACAGTTACAAATTAAGTCCAAGTGGAAGCTTGAAAATAGACATATAATAATGTTCTTAGAAGAAAATGTAAAACTATTAAAATCATATTATTTATATCTCAAAAATGAATGATATTAAAAGTGAAATTTTCAATCTACTTAAGTATTTCTTACTTATAAAAATGCACCAGTATTTAACAAAAAATCTAGTTATATATAAATGACATTAAATAAGATTCAAGTATTGATAGACTAACTTAACAACAAATCTTTTTTTCATGATATTTATGTGTTTCCTGTATACTTGCTTATGAAAATACATGATTATTTATTTAGAAAATAGAATAATCACATAAATCTACTATAATTTAATAATAATTTACTTTATCTAAAAATCGAGCAGATTTCTGGCTAAATATCTCACAGATATTTAACTTGGATTTCTTTTTAGGTTGTAATTTTTTTAAGAATGCACGTAATACTTCCTTGTACACCAAAATATTTATTTTATTTTGAGACATTCTGAGTATATCTATTCTATTGAGGACATTTTGTGTTTATTCTCTTGAGTACAGTCTCTGTATGTGTATTTATATACATAAATATATATGCATACTCATTGACATAGTCAACATTTTACAGACAAGCAAAAAATGTCTGGAAAATAGTACAACTTAAATAATAATTCATTGTTGTGTCTGAAAATACTATTTCATCAATTACAAAATATTTTCTAGCAGAAATGCTTTTGAAGATGAGGCTAGAAAGGGTATTGCTCTGTTTTGGATAATAAGTGTGAGTGAAGAGAAATGTGCATCTTTGTAAAAGAAAGGGAATAAAAAACAGGAAAAAAAAATCCCTTCTTTTAAAAGTAGAAATTAAATGTAAAAGTCAACATAAAATAGATATGATTATTATTGCTACATATTGTACAAAGTTCTGGATATAAAAAAAAGATTGTTTTGTTCTGAATCAGTGGTTAGAATGTTTATCACTTATGCATGTACTTGACTTATCCCTGTTCTGCAATAGACATAATTTTATACCTCATAAAAGCAATTTATGCTTCCAAAGGGAATAATCTGGATAACATAAAATGTGGAGTGCTCTGTTGCAAGAAGCATATTTTCATTCAGCAACTGTATTTAGAGATGGAACTGCACAGTTTGATCATCATACAGTGGCAGAAAGCATTATTCATTTCTACCTCTATGTGAAACTTTGAGTGCCACAAATTAATATGCATGGCTAATTTATCAATACCTATTCTTAATTTATAACTATATATCACCGTTATAAGGTTTCTATAATGTAGATGCACTCAACTGGCTATAAGAGAGAAAGCACATGCTATACTAAAAGAAGTTTCATAACTTCAATGACATTGAGTGGTTTTTAGAATTATTAAGAGATAATCAACTTCATTAGCAATTCAATTAATGCAAAATGCTATAATATTACAGCAAAACACAAGACATTTTAAGTGACAATCAGAAAAATGAAAATGTCTATTAAAAGAAGCTTCTGATAAAAAATTTTGTCTCAATGTGAAAAGGAAATGTAAGAATAATTAATATTTTATGAATTCATTTTGTATGAAAGTTTTACAAAAAATAGATCAAAAACATTTTTCATTATTTATAAAATAAATAATACAACAAGCTGTTAAGCACAACAAAATTAAGCAAGAATTTGATAATATTAAATTAACCAACTAACTGTTTCTAATAATATTCATACAATGATGCGCACACACTCTTCTAAAAATTCTGGTAAAGAAAATTTCCTAGAAAAAGAAGCAACTACACAGAGAAACCTCATTAGGGAAACCTCAGCCAGGACCACTAGAGAGAGCTCTTCTGTTCCTTAAAAGGTTCTGGTAAAGGTAAGTTAACCCAAGTTTCTGCCTTCTGCTTTCTGGTGAGGCCTTCACCTCTACACATAGCATTGCCTTGTGTGAAAGTGTTAAGAGGTATATGCTATGGGAAAATGTCACATACCATCAGTGGGGGCATCATCATCTTTATCATATCGTTCTGAGGCTAAAGAAACTGTATCTGGAGTCCCAGCAAAAGGGTCATTATATTCTTCCCCCTCTTCCACATCCCCTGTAAAGAATCAGAGAAACGTCTTTTATGATTTAGTCATTTAAAATTATGTTACTTTTTTCAAAGCGCTGTTTTACTATTAAATCCAGTCACTGTCATAAGAAATAAAGAAACCTTTCTGACCTATGTAAAACACATCCTATTTTAGCTTATCTCCACTGTAATATGAGATGATAAAATTATATAATATTAACATTTTTTCAAATTTATTACAGTAAAAGATACAATGCTATTAATACCTCTAAAACTACTTCCCTTCACTTTGAATGCACTTATCCCATCATTTTTGTCACTTTCTGAAGCAGTTCTGGAAGTCCTTCTCAATATCTTTATAAAGTGTGATCAAAAATATGGTGAATACTGCTGCCAAGGGCCACCCCACAGAAAGGTGGGCTTGTAAAAACATTACAGTGCATCCTCAACCACCTTATTCACCAGATCTGGTACCATGCAACTTCTGGCTCTTCCCTAAAGTCAAAATGACCATGAAATGGGGCCAGGGATTTAGCTCAGTGTTTCCGGTGCCTGCCAGGTAAGCGCAAGGTCCCAGGTTTCATCCCCCTGGTACCAAAAAAAAAAAAAAAAAGACCGTGAAATGTTAAAGTTTTAAATTGTTTCAGGTCATCAAGGCAGCCACAATAGTACAACTAAAGACATTCATGAGAAAAAATTCTACAACTGCTTCAGAAAGTGTCAAGGAAGATGGCATAAGTGTGTTCAAAGTAAGGGGAAGAATTTCTATGGGAATGGCAATATGTCTTTTACTATAATAATGTTTAAATTTAAATCCATATCACATTTTTATCACACCTTATAAATGTAGTAGAGTTTCTGAAGGTCAATAAACTGCTTATTTGTGACACAAAAGGACAAAGATTGTGACAGTCTTCATAAAGAATTCAAAAAGTAGAAGGAAGATAAAATAAAATCCAAAATAACCCCCCAAAAATCAAAGAAACAATAACCAAAAGAGAAAACATGCACAACACAGAAAATTATTCAAGTAATTATATTCACCTATTCAATAATTTGAAAAATTATGGTGAGAAATCAATACTTTGAAGCCATATGAACACTTTATTTTCATTAAAAAACACAGGATAACAGAGTAAATTAAAAGTACTCAGTGCATTTTTTAGAATAGAAATCTTTCATAGAAAAAACTGCTTGAAAATTCATAATCTTTTTAAAAATTCAAACAAAGAGATGTGCAAACACTTTCAATTTTCATTCAGTAGTGTGCTACCATTTTTTAATGTTCTTGCCAATTTCCTACTTGATTTCCAAATCCTAGGTTGATTGGTTTGGGAATTTTTTTTAAGTCTGTTTGTTTTAGATTATTTAATGCCCATGAAAAAAACATTGTGGTTTCATTTTTTTCCATATTCAGTTAAAATAATTTTTTAAAAACATTGAATCAACTATTTGTCAGCCCAGTAATTTTCACAGAGATTCAACAATAAAGAAAAAACGTATTATATTAAATATCTAACTGTGAACAATTGAAGAAAAAACCCAGCTGCCTCAGGGATTACGCAAAAGGTATGGTAAAAATTCCCACAGGAACCCTGGATGGAATACCTACAATATTACCTTTGGGTCGCGGTGCTTGGATAGATCCAGATTAGAGCCATTAGTATCTTCAAAATGAGGTCTAATCCTCTGACACCCATTTCCTGGGTGTCATTCTATTTTTCAATACATTTTTGGTAGAGGAAATAGCTTCTCAAGACAGCATTGTCAAAATAATTTAAAAATTAAATATTCATTCCCATATAATTTTGCTATTGTATAAACAATCATCATCCTTGTCCTGAAAATGTAGATAGTAACATCTCTCATGAATATAAGAGCAGAATACAAAGATGGCTATTTTGTCATTCTTAGTGATTCTACCACTAGGTACACAACACCTGTGATGGTTCTTCCCCAATTAAAATTCCAAAGAATACACATAAATTCTACTCGTTCTTTAGGTCTTAACTTGTCTTTTTTTTTCTTTTGAGATGGCCAAAGTACTTTTCAGAACATTAAATGATTTCTCTTATAATAACATTTCTTTTACAAAAAGAAAACCACTCTAATTTCAAAGATAAGGCCCAAAACACCTCATAAAGAACCACTAAAAATATTCTAAACATGCCATGATAGAATGTGAAACATACACTTGTAGAGATCACAAAATTCTCAGTTACTCTTAGTTGCTGGAATATTCTTAACAAAGTAAGAAATTTTATGGTATGAATTTTCTAAGGATATCTGATATCACACACCAAAAAATAAATCTTCTGATTAAAAAAAAAACATTAGGATATTTCAAATACATACCAGAATTTAGCACTTATGCTACTATGACTACAAAGATAATAAAACCAAAGAATATATGGAAATGATTTTGAAAAAATTCAGCTGCTCAGGCTTAAATCTCTTAAAGTCTATATGGAAATGGACAGACAAAACAAAAGTTTTGAAAACCTAAGGGAGTTTATTTTCCTCAGATAATAGCCATTGTACACTTTTATATGTATATATACACTATACACACAAATACACAGAATATCTATCTACATTTGATATGTATATTCAATATCCACACATACAGCAAAAAGATTAAAGTCATAAACTCAATAATACTTGATATAACAATATTTATTCTACAAAAATGGGTCGCTGACATGTTGAAAAACATGGTTCTTTGGTTTTTTTTAATACTTTTCAGAGCTGAGGATTTAGCTCAGTGGTAGGGTGCCTGCCTAGCATGCATGAAACCCTGGGTTTGATCCCCAGCACTGCAGAAAGAATTTTTTTCAGATTATTTATTAAAATGAAATTGGCAGTTGAGCATAGTGATGTACACTTGTAATCCCAACACTCTATGAAGCTGAGGCAGGAGGATCGCAAATTCAATCCTAACCAGGGCAACTAGGCAACCTAGCAAGATCCTGTCTCAAAATGAAAAATAAGAAAATGGCTGAGGATATAGTTCAGCATGAATGCCTTGGATTCATTCCCCAATACCACAAAAATAAAATAAGGTAAGATCGTCTTCAATTTATCCATTCCAAAAACTGTAGTTAACCGAAATAATTTTTAAAGTAGTGTGATATTTATATTCAGCTAATAAAAATAAATTAAGTACTGCTACTAGCTTGATTTTTCCCCCATCCACTGAAGGAATGTCTTTTGAATTCACTCAAAGTAAAGAACGCAGACGATATCTGTACAGTGGTATCCCCTTTTTAACCACTGCATTACACTGAAACAACATACCGCTTTTCAGCGTGGTCTTCATCTTACTGTTGTTCCAATGATAATCCATTCATTTACCCATCCCTAATTTTGTTTTTCAATCCAATGAAGAATAAAAGCTGCTGCTTTATAAGGAGCTTTAATTGAACACAGGGGTCGCTGTTGAGTAGTGCAAAGCATTTTTTCTTCCCAGGGCCCAAGTATTTTTAGCTGTACCTGCAAAGACTTCTACAAATTAAAAAGAAAATGCTCAACTTGTGTTTATGTAATAAAAGAAACTTAACTCCAAATCAACAATGGGGCATCAGGTAAATGTATCCAATACAATTTACAGACATAATTGAAAGCATTACAGACTAATCAGACATCTAAAAGAAAGGCATGCTCAAATGAAATGTCTACAGAATCATTAGTTGCCAGCCATTCTATTACTATCACACATAATGTCAGTGGTGCCTTGAGCCTGTGCCAATGACAACAGCATAAATTTTGCATCTCATTTCTGTGGTCATAAAATTAATGATCAGTTTAAAAATACTTCTTTGTAAAAGTTATTGCACAAAGAAAAGACATGAATGTGTCCCTGTTATGTACTCACAAGGATAATTATGAGGTTGTTGCTCATTAATACTGTTTCTTGTTTCCCTAGAAAAGCATTTGATTTATCACACAACTTTCAAAAGTTTAATTAATGATACAAAGTTAACCATCTAAAAGACAATGATCCAAGGCTTCCTTCCTATAATTTCAGTGGCAACTTAAATATCACAGCAAAATCCAGGTTTAATCATACCACAGCAATATATTTCTCAGGTAACTATTTTAAAATTTATAATAGGTACAAATCATTAGTAGCCATTTTTTTATATGGCTCATCATCAATTAACATTTTCCTAAATGCCTACAGATGCAGCCCAACAGCAACTGGACTCACAAATTCCACTACCCCAAAGGTGGTTTACCCAGTTGCCTGTTGTTTTTCCACATGTAGTTCTATTTTAAACACAATCAGAAAACATAAAACTAAATAATACACTTAAAATTTAGTATCATTTTATATTGAAATATCACACTGTACCTCATAAATAAATATTAAATGTTAATTTAAAAGAAAATAATATATAAATATATAAGATATAATTTAGATGGCAGCCATTCCTTTGTATAGAGCACGAAGACAAACTTGGGAGTCAAGGTAGAAACAAATTAATTTCTGATTCTCTAGTCAAGTTTCTTGTCCATCCTAAGCTTTCAAGTAATAATATGCAGCTAAATACATATATAGAATTAAACATTTAATTTGTAATTTCTTGAGAAAATTTAATTCTTAAGACTTTGAAGGATACAGGTCATCAAAAAATAAGAAGATTCTCTTAATTATTCTACAATAGGAAGGTTAATTTATAGTATGCAAATAACAAGAACAACTTTTTGTGCCACATTGAAGCAGAGCATTAAAATAAGCATACCATTTTTCAAAAACCTCTTGGATATAGACTTCTCCACTCCAGGCCCTGTAATTCCAAACATGCTTACCACATCTGCACAAGGGCAAGGGTAGAAGAGGGCAGTGGAAGGAAAAAACTGCAAGTTATTTGCTCAGATGTCACTGTACAGCTAACTCTCAACAGAAAATATACCATGTTGGGAAGGATAAAGGGAAGGAAATTAAACATCATCCAAGCTTCTGGCCTTTCTGCTGTTCTTAAAGATTCCATCAGGACAAACAAAAATTGATCCCTTCCTACCTAATAGTCTTGCTATTTTAAAAAAGTGGTTTAGTCCATTAATAAACTTAAGAAGTGACGAATGAGAAGGTAAAAGAAAAATTGCTTCCTACATAAACCTATGCATATTTAACAACATCAGTGGAGTTTTAAGGGTAAATTTATTATGGAATTTTATAATTAATAGGAAAAGATTTTAAAGAAGAAAATGAGAGCTTATCTGTAACATCTAAAACAATAATTCACATTTTTAAAACTGTAGACAGTAATATTTTACAAATTTGAAAAAGTTTCAAAATATTTGTCTCATTTACTATATATATGCCTTTCTTTTAATAATTTATAATAACCTAAAAATTATTTGAAAACTAAATTCATGGATCAGAACTTAAATATTTCTGACAAATGAAATTGGGGAATATGCATTAATTTAATGTTTACTGAACATCTACTATAATCACACTGAAATCATCACTGAAGTAAAATGAGATTAAAGTCAAGATACAGTGTAAGTAAAACTTTCTGATGTACCTAACATATTATAAAATACTAATGTTCAGTCAATAGTAGTTCTTTACTCAAACAGTAATACATTTTCTATCACAAAAATAATTATTTCAAGTCATGTTTAAGAGAGCTATGATCTTGTTATGTGACAGAGAACAATTAAAAATAATCATATATCACTATTCCAGTGCACGGAGCCTATTTTCAGTAGAGGACACTATACAATATAAGCTATATTGAAACCAGGTAACTATGGTTTGATAGTTATTCTGTCTTGCAAAATACATTGAAGTAAGAAGAAAGTCTCTACTTTGAATAAAATACCAATATTTCAAATAAATAACAAGGAATAGACCAAGCAAAATGTGCTTTAGCTGACTGGATTCTACTCTTCTTTAATTACAAGAAATTCTTAATTAAAATTAAGAAATTCAAAAAATCAATTGATAATTATTCTTAAATTACAGTTAGACCTCTTCAATAGGGAATCTAGAGTATGTAAGGAGTTAGGAAGAATCTTAATAAATTAAAGAAATGAAAATGGAAGCTTTTAAAACAGTAGCTTTCTGTGTAAATAAATGTAAATAACAAGGAGAAAATCAGCTTAGTAGACAAAATTATCTAGGCCCATTGTAATAAAACAAGTGTTTAAGGATACTAAGTATTGTTACAAAAAAGGAGAAATGCAAAAACAATCTGAGATCCATGCAGCTATTTCAATAATCATATAAATTCAATTAATTTAAGATTTGAAATACTTCAAATTATAAATTGTTTTCTTAAATCTTGGGACCAGGAACTATCAGGTAAGGACAAAGAATTAGAATGGGAAATAAGGAAGAATGATAGATATCAGTGAAAACTAAAGAAATTAATAAGTGATTTATTAGAAATTAATAAATCTGAATTAAATCATTTTCTTTAAGAACTCTCTACCTGGTCCCCCCAATAATGGTCTTAAAATGGTATTCAACTGTTATTTTAATAAAATAAAGCATGTTTTTAAAATGGGGATATAAAGACAAAAATGAGGAAAACAGTTTGTGGTTACCTCATTGTGGCCCTATACTGACCAGAAAGAGACAGAGAATGTGTGTGACAGAGACAGCGAGAACAGACAGAGACACAGAGAGATAACAGCCAAAAGGAATTCTTTGCAGCTCTCCCTGGATGCAGACAATCCAAAGCCCCAAGGGGAAAATGTAGGGACGGTGGGGCCACCATCATCAAAACATAGGTACTATTGAATTACTCAATGTAGAGATCTAATAATAAATTCCAAATATTAAAAGAAATGTATCTTGCATAATTACTTTGCAATTATTAACTCTGAACCCTTTACTATTCCTAACGAACTATAGAAAGTAGTCTTTTCAGAACAAAGCTGAATATACTTTGAGGGTACAATGGCATAAAATTACTTAGCTTCTTATATTTCTCCAAGGTATACATCTAATTTATCCACAGGCTTACTTTTCAGCAGGCACTCTTGGTGATTAGTTAACTTAATACAGCAGTATTGAACTACAAATGAGTTATTCACAGGAAAATGATTATAGGGAATCTCTGAATTCTGTATTATCAGAACTCTTATTTTAGGATCATTTTTCAAATTCTATCAAATACTATATAAACTTTCATTCTCTTTGGAGACAAAGAATGCATCGCAGTAATGTAATTTTAATATCCACACACCTGAACAAGTTCTAAAACAGAATTCCAAAGGGAAAGTTCCTACACTATTACTGAACCACATCCAATTATACAATGACTTCATGTTATTATACTTTCTTTAGCTTAAAATTGTTTAATGTACAAATAATTAAGGTACAATGAGAGTTCAATAAATAATCACTGGAATAAAATACGCCTTTTAAGAAGAGAGAATATAATGTATAATATTGCTTCATAAATAGTGCATTGTATAAAAGCTATCATATTAAAATGCATAAATTCATTTCTATATACAACCAAGTAAAATGCAACAGGGTTAAGCTCATAGTTTAGGATTCACTGTAGTGCACAAAAGAGTGAGTATGTAGGAAAAGGAGTTTCCTGTTCTACTTTTTTATTCAATAGTGTTAAAAATCTTCATATAAAAAAAAACTTTTCTCATCCCTTTCAATCCCACTATTTTGGTAATTCCATGTGAAAGAAACTGTGACTTCCTTTTAACTGATTTTAGGTTTCTCTGGTTAAGTACTTGGTTTACTGGAACTGTCAGTATCCTCTCATTTATCAGTTAGCAGAAATATGAATTACTCTGTGGGACCTGCTAATCCCAGTTAGCACAAGCCACGCTGTTTCTTCTCCAAAACTCAGAACCTAGCTCTGTGTAAGTTAACTGACCTCACATTGTAACCCTCATACCAGCATCCACAAGCTGTAGGTCATGACCTATGAATTAGCATCATGGAAATAAGGGCGATACCCAGTTTCCCTTAGGAACTGAAGACATGAAGAAGCAGGAACTTCAAATGCCTTTCCTAATCTGGTTTCCAGCATGCTAAGCAGCTGTCTCCAAAATTTAAAGGAAGACAGTTTACTAGCACTCTCGCTTACTTCAAAGATAAAATTGAATTTCCATCTCTAAAACTCTCTAAGGTACACATTATTCAAAACAAAAGAGCCACAAGAAAGATAAAAACTAATATTTGAGAAATATTTTATTCATATTCTCAAACAAAATGTATACAGTTTTTAAGGTATCCTTCAAAAATGTGAGCTATGAGCACGCAGCCATAAGCCCTTCTGCTCCTGCCGCTCTACAAAACAACCTCTGAAATGTTAAGTAGCAGTGGGTTGATATCTCACCACTGCTTAACCGAATCATTCCAAGTATAACTCAGGCATACACTGTCCCAACAAATTTCTGCCACAATGTACTCTAAGAAATACAAAACCTACAAATGTTAAATTCCTAAGATTTCTTTATCAGAAAACTGCAGAGTAGATTCTGGATATGCTTTTTAATTTTTTCTCAGCAGGGGGAGCTAGCACTCTCATCTTGAAGGTCTAAATCCATACAAATATATAGTATGGAAATTTAAATTTTGGTTCCAACTATCAAATTTCAAGATGTGTTAATTATCCTATTGAAAATCTTCACAGAAGAAAAAAAATTCAAGTTTGAAGTTTACCTTTGTCTTGAAATTCCTGAAGATAACTGCAAAATAAAGAACATTATATTTTAACATGAGATAGAAAAATCAAAACAAGGTCTAATCAGTAGCAATAATTAAAATCCAAAATCTGTATTACAAATATACATGTAGAGAAAAAACTGTTTCCTGTCCTGAAATAACAATTCCAAAAGACTTAAGAATGTATAATAAATTTGTAAAGATCTATGAGTAGAGTAGTCAAATAAGGGTGTATCTCTAATACCTGTAACATATATTTTATTTATTTAATATAATAACAAAAGGATTCTCTTTTTCAGGGTCTAAGGCATTTTCCAAATTTACATTAAAATCCTCAACCTATCTACATCTTATTTAAACCAAATATTTCCTCAGATAATAAAAATAAACAGTTGGATATTGTTAGAATATTTATAAAAATACATAACTGAAAACTATTATAAAAGAGTATTATGATAAACATGTCTATGTTTAAAAAATGTATTTTTGTCCTTTAAAATATACAACAGCAATAGATTAGACTATAAAAAATGTAATTCCATGATAATTCCTTATTATATTAATTACAAAATAGCTTCTAAGTAGGAAATAAGTAATAAAAAGCAAGTGACTTACGAAGCCTTGACATCTTTTATCTTCTTAATAAGGTATTCCCTCTTTTCCTTTGCTTTCTTGGATAAATTTTCCCCTCTCAGTATATCTGCTACAAATGTTTCAACATCTAACCCATGAAATATAAGAAACACGATACAAATTAGAGGAAAGAATCATTTTTTGTGAAGACAAATAGGACAAAGATTGTTTCTTCATATAAGTATTAATATCTGAACAATTTGTTATAGTTATTTATCAATCCAAAGCATAACAGTTGAAGTATGTTTCAAATACTAAGTTGGACAAATCTGTTCACCACTTAGCTAATAAAATTTGTATGTTGTACTTATGCTTAGCACAGCAGATACTACTTGGATATTTGGCATCATTAAACCAGGAAGAAGCTCACATTTTAATAAACTATGGTATCCTATAAAACAAAATCTCATATAAAAACCAGCACCAAGCTTTTATGCATGTGTCACTATCTTTTTATAGTATTTTCTAATGTCCTATATGCACAAGTCATTCACAATATTATATCAATATACACTAATGTCTCTGGCAAGGATCTGTTTTTCCTAGTGTAATACATTTAAGTATACATAATGTTTAATGCTGTAAAAGAACAAAACAAGTCCCTTTCTTCTAGCCAAGATTCTCAAATCACATTCTCCTGCTTGCTAACTGCCCCACCCACTCTGGGTAGTTCTGTGAGCTCTTACTTCCTGCCCCTGTTATTACCACCTGGAATATTTCTCACATGAAGGAAGAAGTACAAAAATAGATTTTTCCACTATTTAAAAATATAGTATGCAAGAAATAAGATTTTCATAACCTCATATTTCATTTCCCCATAGCTTATATTTTAAAATTTTAGTAAACTAAATTATTCTGTTGTCTGGTTCTCTCTCACATAAAATTACAAGAAGTCCTTGCTGGTTTGATTTCTATAGCAGTTTCATTCTTAGTGTTCATGAAATACTGTACAACTTAAATTAATTTTATTTTCAGAATTTCTAAACTCATTCTGAATACAGAGGACACTTTAAATGTTTTAAAGTAGTAATGGCTATAAATCATCCATGTTTCATATTGAGGAGATTCATGTATATTTTACTTTCTTTTTTTAAATTACTATCTCCTAATTCACACTGTCAAAATGAGAGTATCACAACATAATATTATATTTAGGTAATGCAAAGAAATGTAATAATCTCAGCTTTATTTAAATTAACTATTTAAAACCTAATATATGAGATAGATGTTTGTAATCAAGTTTAAATTCTTGATTACAAAAGTATTTTGATCCAATTAGGAAAGGTGATCAAACTGTTATATATTCATTATAAATGTATAAAGGTAATTTTTTCCTAAGTCAATATGACAAATGAAAGAATTAAAGTTAATTTCGTAGTAATTTTTAAAAAGAGCTTCTGGTTTGACGTCCATTAACAACTAATATGTTAAAAGCAAGTATCAAATTGAGATAAAAGCAAAGCATCTCAGCTTCTCTTTCCTTGACTTGCCCATACTTTGGAGAGGGAACAGAGAGACATAATCCAGAAGTAGTGCAAATTAGACCCAGATTGCTCACGTGAGTTCGAAATAATGAAAGTTATGAAGACGACTGCACCCAGAGGAGCAAGCCAGCAACCTCTGAACATTCACACAGCTGAAATGGAAAAGATCATTTGCTTCCCTGAGAATCCATACAGTAACTCTCCTTAAAAAATTTTTTAAAAAAGAGAATAAGGGAAGGAGTAGCAATCCTACTGCTGATTGTTTGTTCCAAAGGGACTCAATACTTGGGAGGATCACTGGCACAATGACTGGTGAATAGTCTGCTTAATGTTATTTTCACTCAATGTTTGTCATTAATTCCCTCTTCCATGAGTATTTAATTGCCTATTTTACATTTTCATTACACAATCCAAGTTTAAACAAACAGGATCTATTTTCTAGCTCTGGAAGCAATAATAGAACAAATTACAACCCAAGAGTTATTTCTTTAAAAAGTCATCTCATTTCTACAAAAATTCAGAAAATAAAGAAGCCTACAATACTCTATGATGTATTTTCTTAAAATCTCTTACATATGTTTATAAAATACTGACTGATGCTTCTGTTTATGAAAAAATATTTGAGTTTGGAGCTGCAGGAAAAAATCAGTATTTTTCAAGGAGAGAGGAAAAAGATCTATACTTTTAGAGTAGTATTTTAAAATTATTCCCAAACTTTCCCAGAAAAGAGTTTAAGGAAACTAAAGGAATTTAAGAAACAGTGAAATTTTTGGTAATTATTTCGCAATGGAGAGTAGGAACTGCTTTGCTATATTTTTTTTTTTAACAAATAAGAATTTTAACTGGAAGCGATTCCTGCAATAATCTTAATTATTGGTTGTCCACCGACTTGGTTGTTTTCGAAATCTTGGTAATTTCTTTAAAATCTACACTTGGTACGTTAATTTTCAAATGAAATGAAACAGCCTCTCCAGACCCGGCTCAGGATGCGCCGGCAGCCTTCTGCCCGCGCCTGTGCAAAGCACAGACAGTTCTCCCCCAGCGCAAAGACTGAAAAAGAAGGGACCTGAGCTTTCCTGGGAGATGCTCCATCTCTGGCCACTGAAAAAACTAGACCCTCCGCATGTTAAACCCCAGGGTTCCTCTCTGAGGAGCTGGGAGCTGGGAGAGCAGAGTTTGGGGCAGCGCCAGACAAATGGGGCTGGATCTACGGCTTTGTAGCTCAAAGCCAGGGTAATATTTCAAAAGCAAGCAATAAAAGTCTTGGGTGAATCAAGCCCTCCTCTGGCTGGTTGGAAAAGAGATTTGAGGCTTTTTATTGTGCTCTAAATAGCCCTGCAAACTGCAAACTAGCTAGTGCGGTAAACTAGCAAACTCTCTGGCCCTCTTTTACCTTTCTTTAGGGGTCGTGGCCCTCGGTTAATATGTAGATTTCACTGACTCCTGACTGCCTGTAATTCGGGAAAACACCGTAATTTTATTACAAGAAAAGGGTAAGCCTGCCTTGCTCGTTTGTCCCTTGGCCTGGTGAGTTTGAATTCCTCTTTCTCCGAGGGAGGGGTTTCCACTCACTTTCGAGGACGCCTGCCTTGGGAAAGAAGTGGGACTCCCAGAAGAAGGCACAGGAAAGGGGTTGCCCCCAAGACACCAAGTCCAACTGCCACAGCCCTGCAGCAGGTCTGTGCTGCCTACACTTAACTCCAGAATTACCTCCAAGATCCCTCAGCCTCCGCCCACCAAGTCATCATTAGGAAAAAAGTTATTCTGGCAAAATTAAACTGGTGGTGATTTTTGCTTCTTTTACACCTTCTGTTGTCAAGAGTAAGCCTTATCTCAAAGCACAGCTGTAAGGAATTGCAGATGAAGGCCGCTGAAAAGATCAGACTTATAACTGCTCTGTAGGTAAGGGCTAAAGGTCTGAAAAAAATTAAAAGATGACATGTTCTGCCTCAGCAATCTTTAAGCAGTTTAAATTAGAAACCTCTCAATAGCTATCTCTGCCCCTAAGAGGCAAACACTTAACACATGACTCACCGAATAGTACTCCAAGTTTTCTGGGGTTTTGGTTTTTTTGTACCTACAGGCATCCTGGACAGACTAGGCAGCCCAGAAACTGCGACTCCATCTTCATTTAGAGACCAGAGTAACTGGGACAAGTATCTAACAGGACACACACACACACACACACACACACACAGAGGCTACTTTCTACCAACTTCCACATACAGCATGCAGTGAAAATGTGGAACCACACAAGGTCAGAACAGTTTAAAAATTCTTGCCAAGAATAAAATAAACGGTTAGCTTCTCTGAGTTGTGTACCTAGTATGAATTCTTGTTCTTAAAGACCACTTATCTTCATCCCCCCACTACCAGACAGCTTGGGAGAGGACTTGGAGGTCTAAAGTTGTAAACAAGGCACAAAGATAATACCCCTGGTCTTCTCCCCAGTCCCCAAACCACCCAATTCCTCCCTGTCCATACTTACATACACACACAGCTTCTGTGATGGCCTGAATTATATAGAGAAAGGGGCCAGCCCCACATCAGTAAGTGTAAAAACCAATTATACAGCACCCCAAATGACTTTACTATTTAATTCCACATCTCTTTTTACCTTACTTGCTTTGTATTCACTGACATATGCTGTCATCAAACTTAATATGTTAAGGATCCCAGCCCAAGCTTTAAGCTACTTAGAGCAAAAAGACATTTCTCTGTTACAGCAGAGAATGGTCTGACCAGTTACTGATGAAAATATAAAAATCAATCAAAATAGGCACATATTGATCAATGCAGTCAAATTCCCAAAGTTGGAAAATGGCTAATTGAAAAGTTATTGATTGTTCTGATCAATGTCTTTCTCTTGATTACCTAGCCCTTTTATCGGTTATGGTAGAATTGTGGACTTTTCAAACATGGAAAGATACATGAGCAAACACAGTTCTTGCAGTGCCATGGGTAAAACAGACCTGAGTCTTATAATTCAATTATCCCACAATTATCCTACAAAATTTTCAATATTAGCTTTGGAAGATTAAATGATTTACTTTGATAGAAAGCCGGGCTGTTGAAAGATATGGCTGACCATCTTTCAACCTTCAAAAGATGACTTGATAAACAGCACTTTACAATAATCAAAATCTTTTTACCACACACTTTCAAAGAAGACAAAGTGAATAACACATTAGTTGAGACTGACACTATATTCACTGTTAGGCAGCATCTATCATTATGTGTTCAGAATGTGATTGAAAAAGAAATGTAAACTCAATGGAATGAAAAAGATAGACTTGGCTTTAATTGAAAAAGGCAAACTAAGTGAATAATGAGTATATAAAATGTAGCCTATGCCATTTTTATCACCCATATATGACACTTACTCTTAAATTTATGAGAGACAACTGAACTGTTTCATATCAACAGAGGCTTTTCATACTGTTGTTTCTACCTTCTTTTTATCAATACTTTAATGCTCCTAGCAGTAGACTTGCAAATTTTTCATATACTTTTCACTTTTTAATATATTTAGATTTCTCTTTGCAAAAGAAACAAAAGACAATGTTCCATAAAAATTGTGGAAAACAGTAAGAACCTTACTTAGTAATCAGGATACAAATATTTTCAATGGAAATCCATGCCAAAACTCCTTCCCAACAAAGTATAAGACATTATGTGCTTAATATTAAGAGGCCAATAATTTTCCTAATTCACCTACACAGTACTATGTGACTATCTGACTATACTATTTGACTGCATTTTTTGACACTATAAACTTATGGTACCTTTATTTACAAGTTCATATTTCTATTTCTAGAAGAAAAAAATCTTAGAGGTATCATAGATTGATTTTGTTTTGAGATTATGTGTTCTCAAATCAACTTTATGCTCATTAGTTAATTGCTGCCAAAATGGGACAGGCTTGTTCTTCCTCTGTTGGAAAATCCAGGTGCTAAGAAGGTGACTACTGGTGACTCAGTAGGTGGCACTCTTCCCTTTACATACTCAGCCAATGCCCCAGAAGAAATTTAGGGTACACCAGATACACCATAAATGATTCTCATAGGACAAATAAAACCAAAATGTTGACCCAATTATAAAAAGGGCTTTGAAAAGGTGGAAAGCAAACCATACTATGCCAAGCACTGAAAATTTTTGCCTCTATTTCAACTAAATTGCATTCTTTATCTAGTGCCCTCAAAGGGATTATCAATTATAATGTATGAAGGTTTAAAACAATGTTCTGGAAATCCCCAACAGGGGAAAATGCAATACTTATAATCAAAATTTCCATGTGAACAAAATCTCAAGGTCACTCTGCAGAAACTATTTATCCATTTTGTTTATTGTTTGTTTAGTTTGATTTTGATTTTTCAGTGCACTGACAACTATTTTCTTCTTCTAACATTGGTTTCATTTTCTAACTTATTAAAAAGAGAATAACATGCCCTTACAGCTTTTCTTTTAAAATTTCTTAGCATAAAAATGAAAGAATGAGAGTGGATAAGAACATCTCCTTGCAAATTACTAACAAGCTATATTTAAAGGATGACTAAACAAATTAAGAGGGGTTGGTGGGCAGTGGTTCTAGTTCCTCACATTTTCTTGGCTGCCAGGAGAGAAAAACTCACATAAATCAAGATTATTCTTGCTAGTAGTAGTAGTCAAAATATTTGGATATGTTAGAAGATTATATGGACAAAGTCCTCTGACTTTAATTATCCCAACTAAATCTGTTCTTCCATTGTTATGGGGAAAAAAATCAAAGGTTGCCTGTAGTGTATATAGTGATTCATAATTTGCGTTCAACAACAAAAATCTGTAAACTCTTTTCTCTTTATGTAAACCAAAATATTAATTCAACATGTCTTATAAAATGCAGGCCTTCAAGATTTAATATACTGATTCTACAGAAAATATGACTAAAAAAGTATATTACCACTTTTCAAAGAAATCATTAAATATGAGCTTAAAAAGAAAAACCTCTTTTATTTCTACATAATATTTTTTAAAAGGGAAGGATTGGGGGGATACTGAAAGGGTAGCTTAAAACTACCATAGTCAGAAAGGAAAAAAAGACAAAGAAAAAGCATAAATATAAGAATACCTTTGAACACATATCCCCATCAAGCAGTTAAATGTCAAATACTTAAAATATATGACATATAATGATTTGTATATTAGGTACGTGAAACACAAAGGGAAATGTCTCAGCAATACTATATTCTGAAAGCCATTATCTGCTGACTTTATATTTTTCTGAAAGCACAGGATTCTAAACTCCTAAAAGGCTTAATTCTTCATCCTCTGTTGTTGAATTCTAGTATCCTACCATGCATGCTAACAGCACTCAACTGTTTACAGCCATAGAATCAAAATCTTCTTAGTTTTTTTTTAAAAAATTGTACTAGATAAGCAATAAACAAGCAATACCTCCAAAATTCAAATGAATACAAACACTTCATTTATAGTTTCAAAATTCTAAATCTAATCATTACTATCACCCAGTACACTTGAATTATGCAAATCATGGTGCAGCCCAAATATTCTTGGATGAAATATGTAAAATAGTGCTGAGTATCTATTCTTGAAGCCTTCTCTAATCCAAAAAAGACTTTAATTATAGTTAAACACAACCTTCCTTGAATACATAAAAAAGTTTTAAACTCTGAGAAACACTGGTTCACTTGTTTCATTTTTTTTTGGTACCAGGGATCGAACTCAGGACCTTGCGATTGCAAGGCAGGCACTGGAATCACTGAGCTAAATCCCGGGCCCTCATTTCTTTAGATGTGTGTCTATCCCCTAACTCAGATCATCACCTCTTGAAATAACCTCTGAAAAGAAAGTATAATCCAAATTTATAATCTCAAAAGTTTTAATGTTTTAGTATTTCTTTTTAATAATTCATGTTTATTTTGTGATTTACTTTAATATGAAATACTGGAAATGTCAATGACTTATAAAAACCCGATTTCAGACATTATGGTTGTATATTATTCGACTGAAGAGAGATGGCAGAAATGTGTACGAAGTTAGCACTGGCAGATAATTTAAATATGTAATTCTGAGCTTTGGTTAAATCACTCAGTAAGGGCCACATGAAATAGTTCTGATCTAATAGAGATCAAAGAATAACCTACATATCTATCATACTACCTGGGAATATATGATTATGGATCGAAATAGTAAACTGCCCACTGTGGGAGCTGTCAACCTTTAAAAGCATGCAAATAGAGGTCTGTTCTTTATTCTTAAGTTCAAAAATGTACACCTAGAACAATCTGAAAACTGTGACATACTTCTGAAATAATGATAAACACTTCTGTAATCTAGTTATTACAATATTCTAAAGAAGTAAATCCAGCATTGTACCAACAACGTTAACTGTAGTAAAATAAAATTAGTACTCATGTGAACTCTCATATAATAGAATAAAAACTCAGTTCTTTGCATACTTCCCTTAATGATATTCATTAATGACAACAAGTATTTCTTAGAGTGAAGTACTACCTACTATCCTGCTACAAATGTATTCATCATACTATACCATGTTCTATGAACATAAGTCTGCAGTCATAGTTTCACAGTGCTAACCACCAAAATACCATAATAATATATTCGGACACCTGCTTTCACACTGCCAGAGCAGTAAGTTACTATGTCAAATATGACATTTTTGATGACATTGCTTTTGGACAGTTAAAATGGGCAACTTAAAACACAGGCATCTCAGAGAAATTCTTTTAATCCAATTATTCATGATATTAAAAGATAAATATTTTAAAGACAACTAAATTCTCAGAATCCCGGCATACATAAGGCAAAGTGAATAATACTAAGAATTTCTAAACATCAGGATATTCAAGATTTGTGGTACCCTAAAAAGATACATTTTCTACCTTGTGGAGAACTATAAAGTTTTCATTGGTCCTTAGTGAAAATAAACACCTCCATATCCACCACATTACTGAACAGTGGATTCATAACAGTATTGAAGAATCACATTTCTAACTCCTTAAAAAAGGTTCCTATAACTGGGATGTAAAACTGAAAAAGGGGAAGATGAGGGTGCAAAGATGAAGTGCTTTCATCACAGGAAGTAGGACTTTCAACACATCCTTCCTTTTTTTGCTTTAATTACTAAGGCTTAAGACAACTGGGCATTTGAGAACCAGGCTCTCTTTCAAAGTCTTAAATATAAGTCCTCTGAAAGTTCAAGAAAAATGGGAGTTTTAGATATGACACACCATTTTCTATCTCATAACACCTAACACCTGTGGCTCCGAAGAAAAGTATTTGCTATACCTTCCACCTCTATTGGCCAGGCCGTCCGAGAACTACTTGATTTCTGCTGCATTCCCAATTCTTACACATGTATTCATTAAAATTCTCTCTTCCCACCCTCTACATGCCGTCTTCAAATTATTCAGAATTAGCCTGGTCCTGTTAGTGCAGAAGACTTCGTCACCATCCTCTAGCCGAAATTTCACACACACGCCCACTCCCTTTCTTAGCCCAAACACCCCCTCTTCTCTCCTTGTCCCGCCCCCTCTGGTCGGAAGACCAAGTGGGGCGCGCAGAGGGAGGGTAAGGACACAAAGCTTCTGTCCCCACAGGCTCGCCGTCCCCTCGCCCCCGCCCAAGCAGCGTTACCCGCCCCCTTCCCCGCTCTTTACCTGCCAACAGGTTCTTAATTTCGTCGGGGAGGGAGCAGGGAGAGGAGGTGCTGCTGGGACTGGGCATGTTAGCACAGAGCGCGCAGGGAAAGGACCTACACTGAAAGGGTGACCGTCTGGGTGGGGATGTGGCTGTGACCTATACTCGGGCTAGCGGTCCGAGGAAGGACAGCGGGGATACGAGTCCGGACACTGCCAGGCCGGGACTCACAACAAGGAAGTCACTGAATCTCCCTCCAGCCTGTACCAGCTGGACTCCTGACTCAGCCCGGGGTGAACCGGGCAAGGCGAGGAGTGGGGAGGAGGGGCCAAGGGCCTGACAGGGCTAACTGCGCATGCCTATCTCTCAGTCTTCTGGGTCTCCGAGTTCTCTGGGCAAGTCACGCCCACCATACGTAAGGAAGGGGGAGGTGGAGCAGCTATAGAAAAGGGGACGGTCTGGGACTCAATCACCTGATTTGGCGTTTGAAGCACCCTGTCGCCATTTTGAGTACTGGTATCACAACAGACGCTGACCATTTTTCCAGGAACCCCGGAAATAATGTATCTGCAGTGCCTAGAAGTTTTTTGATAAAAGGGGCCTTATAGCTAAAGAACAGCCCCACTGAGATTTAACACCTCGCCTGGTAACGCTCAAGGAAAATTTTTAACGCCCTTAGCTATTATGGCCTCTTTGTCCGAGAATGAAGGTAACAAAGTTTCATCTTCCGCCAGTCCTCTGAGACGCAAGTGTAGAACTCCGGAGAGTGTTCTGATTGGACCTTACATTACTTTTCTACCTAATTCCATACTTAGAGTTACTCATTTTCCCCCACTATCAAGAAAAAAAAAAAAAAGAGTTTTAGGCACTGTGCTTTGGAGAGGAAAAAAAGTAATACAAGGCTAAATAGATGTTAGGCAGCACCGTCCATCTAAAGGGAAAGATAATAAAATAAGTAAATTGCTGGTGATTAAGATTAAATTATAATGTCTGTTCACTCTAAACCCAAAAAGACACGTTCAGGCCCTTTAAAGTTCGTGTGTGTGTGTGTGTGTGTGTGTGTGTGTGTGTGTTATTGTATAGTGACGATAGATACTATATTCAAGACTCTCAACTCTTAAAATCACTCAGAACCAGGTATGTGCTGTCACGTTTGTCATGGAGGAAAATAAAAACACCGGAGCCACTGAAGAATAAAGAAGAGAGGCTGATAGAAGTCTTCAGGTTGGATCTGCAAGAACACAGCATTTCATGAGTGTTCACTGTGTATTTAAAATGAATGGAAACAAGGCACATCATTTTCAGAGCCACAGACAGATGTCAGCTTATAGCCTTTGCCTACATTTCCCTTAGTAGAGATAGGGACTATTATCTGTTATCTTTCCAGGTGCTACTGTTGTACTTTGAACACTGCATCAAGACTCAATCGAAATGTAAATTGTTTATTTCTCTACCCTGTAACCTTCTCTAAATCAATGGTCCTTATACTTCAGTTTGCATTACAATCACAGAGAGAACTTATTAGATTGTAGATGCTAGCCCTAGAGATTCTAAAGTTTCAGTCTTTAAAACAATCCCTCTGGTTAAATGCAAGATATCCTAAGATTTCATTTTGAGAATCACTTTACTACTACTTACCAGCTCCTACAGTGCACAAAATTTGTCACAATTTGTTTTATCTCCAGCTGGAACCCTAAACCTAACATAGAGTAATGGCTCTATTAATGTTTCATCAACAAATTTGAGGTTTTGGAGGTGTAGCTCAGAGGATGTGCTCAGCCATGTGCAAGGCCTTGGGTTCAGTCCTACACACACACACACACACACCTACATATATTTCCTCAGATGCTACTAGTAAAAACTTAAGTACTCAAATGGAGTATGACATCTTTGTATAATTCTCTTAAGAGACAATACCAAACACTGTGAAAGGAAAGTATAGAATACTTAGATGTCCATGGTTTACCTCACAAAATAATAAACAAGACAAACACTTTACAACTGAAATAAAACATGCAAAATGATAATAAGACAGACACCCCCCAAAACAAACCCATTCTCCCAAATGCAATCCAAAATTCCTATTCAGGAATGTGATAAATTATAGAAAGAATTCTGAAAATTAGAATTCTTTTTGATGGGAGTTACAGTGATTTTACAAAATAGGTTCTTCCCACTTCAAAGAATCGAGAGCTATTATTGTCAAACTATGAAATTGTCTACTTTCCTAGATAAGGAGGAAACTATTTCATGGATGTTTTATATTAGTGAGGATTCTTTCTCTCTTTACAGTTAGTTATCATATGCAGCTCTCTGACTCATCACGGTTTTTTGTATTAAACCAGGCTTCCAAATGTCCCAATCCTTTGTTGTCTTCTAATAGAACTGGCCACTTTTTTATTCTTGTCTCTTTATTTATTTATATTCCATTCACTGGACAAAGGAATTAAGGTAATTTATTCTTGTATCAAATAGACAGCTTTCTGGAGTGGATCAAATGGACAGTGTCTACACTGCTTATTATGACAAGTCATTCTTGTTAGCGAGAGACAGGAAACTATTAAGATTACTTTAAAATACATTGCATCCAGTAGTGCAAATAAAAAAGGCAATAACAGAAAATGGGCTTTGGTATGAAACACACTTCCCCTATTTAGGAAACTATTCTCAGACTTAGGTTCATGATGGGTTTACTTGGGCAATGTGTTTGTATACTCTATCATTTTTACTGTTTATTGTTAAAGTTACTGAAATTTTAAGACAGAAATAAAGAGAGGCTAAAAGGTATATATATATATATATTCTTTTCTTTCTAAACATTTCCAAAACCAACACTAAGAAGGAAATCAAGTCATACTTTATATTCTTTAACTAGTCACATTAGGTTAAAAATAATAATAATAAATGTAACTTTAAATATGAGCCAGAGACAGGTAGTGGCCTCCCTACCATTCCACAAAAAAGAAACTAGATTTCAGGAAATTTTCCTGTTTCCCCTTCTCAAAAGTATATCCTCTAGTTCAAAGATACATATGTATCCTTAGAATTAAAGCAAAACTCCTTCCTATAACCTTCAAAATTAGTTTAGAGCACTGAATATTTTCCCACAGGCCCAGGTTTAAAAGAATCTAGACAAGTATGGAGGAAAAGTACACAGGGGCCAAAACATAATTTACAGTACTTCTCTGCCTGTCTTATCTTCATTTTCCTTAGTTTTCAGAGGCATGTGGAAGACACATTATACTTATGTGTTGTATTAGTTATATATCACTGCATAACAAAATTTAGTGGCTTAAAACAAACCATTTAGTATCTCAAGCAGATCTGGCTCAGTCTCCCCTGAGGCTTCTGTCAAGAGAAAGGTGTTGGAGTCATCTGAAGGCCTGATCATGGCTAGGGGGTCTGATGTGAAGATAGCTCACCTACAAGACTGGAGTCCTTTATTCCTCTTCAGCTGTTGGAAAAGGCATCTTCTGTTCCTTGACATGGACTTCTCTACAGGGCTGCTTGAATGTCCTTATGACATGACAACTGGCTTTTCTAGAGCAAATGATCCAAGAGATAGAGCAACCAAGACAGACTCATAAGTAAAGAATGGATTAAATAAAAGAAACAATTGAAACTGAATTTACTTTGCATTAAAAAAATTTTATCTACTGTCTTTCAAGTCATCTAGTTAGGCCTCCTTAAGAGTTTTTAGAAGGAAGAGTTGTCTTTATTTTCTAAATTCTTGTCTTTTATTTTGTTTGTTTGTTTGGTACCAGGGATTGAACTTGGGTTCTTGCGCTTGCAGAGCAGGTGACTGAACTACTGAGCTAAATCCCCAGCCCTAAATTCTTGTCTTTTAAATTTGAATCTTCTAGGGCTAGTAAGTATGAGTTTATCATTGTGTGGCAGTTAACAGGGGGAAATATTGTGTTTTCACTGGAATTTACTTATATGAAAGCATTATCCTTAAAAGTAAACTCAACCAGAACCAAAAGGCTTTGATGAATGCAGCTCATGATTTGAAGTTTTAGGTCATTTCTTTTTTTTTTTTTCCTGTGGTGCCAGGGGCTGAACCCAGAACTTTGCACATGCTAGACAGGTGCTCTACCACTGAACTGCATCCTCAGCCTAGATCATAATTATTATTCATGGAAAGAATGAAAAGGAAAAATTATGAGAAAAGAAAAAAAAATGGAAACGAAGTCTATGTAGATAGGGAAGGGTGGAGGGGTGAATGGTGCACAGGTAATGGGGAAAAAATAAGAACCAAGATACATCATGTACAGGTACAAGCACCCAATGATAAATGTAAATGTATACCTAAAATGTACCAATAAAATAATTTAAGCAAAAAAAATTATTATTCATTTTATTAGCATAATTTATTAAGTTAGTAAGATAAGAAACACATTCATTCTTTCTTGCTCTCCATCTTATATCCATACACAAAACACATCATCAGGCACTTTGATGTCACTGCTATCATTTTAATATAAGAAAACTAATTTAAAATGGAGTAGACTTGAGTTATTAACAAGATACTGTATGTCTTTAAGAGTCTACAAATTAGGAATAAGATGAGAGAACTGTTCATCCAGACCTATTATAGAGAGAGTTCCTGCTCCTTTCTCCCTTTAGCTGAACTGAGTTACCTTTCCAGATTTGCAATACTCAAAGGCCTCACCATGCTAAGAGCTCTGCCACTGAACTTCACCCCGAACCCTATCCATAAGGTCAGTATTGATGATAATCTGATTCTAACCTTTTATCCTATTTCAAAGCGACTGAAATTCTTCTGCTTGGCCTCTAAGGCCAAGTCCTTCCCTTGCCTTTACTTTTACTTTTTAAAAAAGACCATAATTATCTTGATGACATCTAGCCCTCATGAGTATAGCTCTGCCTCACTCTTACAGTACTGACTTGTGTTTTATTCTTTGTGACTCTCCAGAGAAGAAAGGAACCCAAATCCCTGTCTTGTCTTCTGTGACTCATCAAGTTTAGTCACTAAGGTGTATGTTCACTAGGAACATGGTAAAAAAAAATGCTTGTTCTTCATTAAATCTAATATTTAATTCAGAGCCCCTCCTTTCCATGCTATTTTACTCCTGTATAGTTTGGTGAGGTTACATAAAAAGATAAGAACTTTTAATTCTTGCACTTTAATTTTTTTCATTTGAATCACTATTTTGTACCTCAAAAGCACAATCAAGGGACCTTGAAAATTCCATTTTATTGTTGGCTTATAGCAGAGTTAGAGTTATCCTTCAGCTTATGCAAGAAGTAACATGCAAATTTAGAGTCTCCCAAGCTTGACTCTGACCTGCACTCCCCAAAATTCACCAATAAGACACTCAGAAAGTGAATAAGTAACTATCTCTC